TTATAAGCATAACGAGGCTGTAAAAGCAGACTGAGTGCACCTTTTCAGTGTGATTACATTTAATATTCCTGACAGCCTCTGTAGTCCCATTTAGCCAGTTGTTAGCAACCGCATTTTTCAAGACTCGTAACAGCTTAAAAAAATAAAAATCACGAGTGGGGTAATACTGATGTATTTTATGTCGTAGAATAAAACATGAAATTATCTTCTTTCAGCATTTTTACCAAAAACCCACTGACTTCAGGACGATGGAACCATAAGTGCTAAAATGCTCATTCGTTTCCTTGTTTTTGCCTAGAAATTTACATCATACCTGCACCACTCTATAGAATAAGAGCACAATAATTCTGACTAAAATATACATTTTGCTAAAATATGTTGTTGGACATTAAATGTGCCATATGTAGAATTTTAAACCAACAAGTAAGTGTATTTTTATGATAGCAGTAACTGTAAAGTGACTATTGAATGTGTGTTCCTCTTACCAGTTAACGTTTAGTCTGTGCTTTTGTTTTAATTTCATTTTAATTTAGGGTTGACTGTAATGTTGTTACAATGTAGTAATGTAATTTGATTTTAACCGTTTCTTTGCACGTAATATATTAGCACAGCCTACATGGTTACATTGACTATATTTGTTTTCATAGCCTTCAATATGAACATTGTTTGTAGAACAACACTGGCAAAGATGTGAATTAACAAAAAAAACGGCTCTTTTTTTTTATCCAAATAGAAAAAAGTAGAAAATACAGAGATATATCCTGTATATCGCCATTCAGGCCAAAAATACAGAGATTAGGGAAGGGCATTTCAAGCAAAAATAATATTCCACCGCGTCACCACCGCATCAGAGCCGAAAACATGGGTATTTTTCCGGGAAAACATAAGACAATAATCGCACAACCTATTCGATATCCTATAATAAAATCAACTAATCGAATATTCTAAAATCGTGACTTCATCCCTAATAGATATATGTTCATTTTTTTGTTGTTCACAGTGCCCAGCCCTAGTTGTTACCTCTGAACATCAAAGTTGGCATTGAAGAGGCTTCCCTGCCACAGGCTGGTGATCTCTTCGGTCTCCTTCTCTGTCGGGTTTCCTGTCACAGAGGCAAACACCATCAAGGTCTTTCCCTTCTTGGACATCTTCAAGAGCTCCTCTGGTTTGGATGCATCTATTTTAGAGAAGTCGATGGGTGGAGGAGACCTCTTGTGCTCCGGTAAATCGCCCTCTTCGATGTCATCATCTTTCTGTCATAAATAAAAAAATATGTCAATGAGAAACACTGAAGAAAGAAAATCTCTTTTTAAAATGGCAAAATTTTATTTACTGGTAGTTAGGGCTGGGCGTGGGAGATAAAAAATTATGCAATTATGTAACTTATGGAATGTCAAGCAAGAAGGGAAAATGTGATAACTATATTAGAGCGACATTTTATTTTCAAACTTTAGATATTCAATATTTTATATTTAGATACTTAACTTTATTAATATAATATTTAATTCTAAAACTTTACAACACACAATTTTAAACTAAATATTTTATAGGCTTACTTATAATATTAAATATGTTCCAATTTTAATGTATTGTCCAGTGTAGAATGTAAATATATGCAGGTAATATTTCAATAGCTTTAATCTTTAAATCTTTGTATACTTTAATACTTTGTAAATGACTGACACTACCTGGCTAAAAACTGTGAACCATGGTCTTTCACAGGCAACCTTTGACTCAAGGAGTGTCTATAAAATTTGTAAATCTATCTATCTATCTACAGTGCTTTAGCATAAGTGAACACACCCATGCTAAAGTTGACTAAAAAGAGGAATAAAAAAAAATCATCTTTTGGAAATTGATCTTAATGCCTTAATTTAAAAAATGAGGAAAATTCAAACCTTTAAGGACACCAATTTTCTTTGTGAATGAATAATGTATCGTGAATAAATGTTCTTCCTTAAAATACAGGGGCATAAGTCAGGACACTCCTATGTTAAATTCCCATAGAGGCAGGCAGATTTTTATTTTTAAAGGCCAGTTATTTCATGGGTCCAGGATACTATCCATCCTGATAAACTTCCCTTGGCCTTTGGAATTAAAATACACATCACATAGGCTACCCTTCACCATACCTAGAGATTGACATGGTTTTATTTCAGTTAGCCTAATAGCTGGTTTGAATTGCATTGAGAGATGATCTTATGGAAAGTACCCCATGCCAATCTCTAGGTATGGTGAAGGGTATGTGATGATGTGGGGCTATTTTAATTCCAAAGGCCAAGGGAAGTTTATCAGGAAGGATGCATAGTATCCTGGATCCATGAAATAACTGGCCTTTAAAAACAAATCTGCCTGCCTCTATGGGAATTTAACATAGGGGTGTCCTGACTTATGCACCCTGTATTTTAAGGAAGAACATTTATTTACAATAGGCTACATTATTCATTCACAAAGTTTATTTTTTAATTAAGGCATTAAGATCAATTTCCAAAAGATTTTTTTTTTTATTCCTCTTTTTAGTCAACTTTAGCATGGGTGTATTCACTTATGCTAAGCACTCTATCTATCTATCTATATAATGCAATATGCATACAAAAGAAATACTACAATTTAGGAAGGAACATTTGAAAACATTGTACAAAGAACTTTTTTAAACGTGAAACGTTACATACACAGAAAGAGCTAAAAGAAATATGTACAAGAATTAAGAATATACACAAAAAAAACAAGCGTGGAACACACTGTAACCATGTTAATAGTTTACGTCAAAATATTAGTTATGGCAGTTACTGTTACTACAAATGTGGTAGTTAATCGATAAAAGTGTGGGGTTGACTAACATACAGACGCACCTACATAAACTAAATGACAAAACGATGGTATTTTGGCGGTTGCCGTGGTATTTTATTGTGAGAGGCACATGACTGATGTCTGCATCAGCACAGAAAACAGCGGTTGAAATGCCTGCAGTGCAGCTGCAGCGTGGATGAGTTCGTTCATACCTCCCACTCCTCCAACAGTCTGGCCATATCCGCGTCATTATAATCCCTTATGTCTTTCTTCTTCTTTGCTTTAGTTTCTGTACAATGAACCGATATGAATAATATGAGAAAAAGCAATACTGATACAGTCCTGCTGCTAACGGGAGTCGCCATCTTTAAACCTGGAGCTCGCTGATTGGGTAAAATCTTTCTGCTCGTCATTGGCTAAAGGAAGAGGGCGTGTTTGCCTGATCACGTGGCCTACTATTGCGGGATTTTTTTTCTCTTCCATTTATTTATTCAAGGAAAATTAAAACACAAAATACAATAATATACATGTATATTAAATAATTAAGTAATAAAGTGTCAAATGAAAAATCTGTATGGGGACCAAACACAAAATATAGAGAAAGTTAATAAGTGTAGGCATGGTAAACAATAAGACAAAATAAAATAATCCACATTTAGGCCTACGATTGGAAAGCTTTTAATTTAGTTACAGATTTTGCATCTTTGAAAAAGTTTCAATGCATATCTTAGTGGATTTACATTCTTATATAATACAATAATAACATTCACTAACTCTATTTTAAAAGCTGTTTTATATTATCTACACAATTAATTGGAATTTAGGAAAATAAATACTGACACGTACAGAATTACAATACTGTTATGCTTCACTGATTATTCTGAAGAAAAGTAACATACTCTTATTTGATTAATTCACTCAGGCCTATATTTTGACCAAATTTCACATTCAGTATTCATTTGATATTTCGATACCCGACACTCTTATGTTGATTTTATATTACCCCCTAGCTAAAACATCTTTTTTCTTTTTGTATGCATTATATATAGCCTAATGTTCATTATTTGCATTCAAATAAAAGTGCATGTATAATGTTAGTTTATAAGTTTATGCAATAACAAAACAAAGAATAAAAACAAAAAGAAACAAGACAGTCATAACTTCCTTGTTATTAAATGAAGAGGAAACAAAATAATTCCGATTTCAGGGTTTTTCAGCTCTTCACTTCACAGGCTGGGTCTCTAAAGTGCTTGTCATGGGACTCATGTGAAGTGTGTGCGGCTCATTCAACAGAATCGGAACTGTTTCCTCTCAGGACACCCCACCCAATGGCACAGTGCCCCGTGCAGCTGTACAACTGACATGCAGTGTTCACAGCCTCCATCAGCCCCCAGTTCAGATACAACACACTTCACAACAAATGCTTTGTGTAATCCAGTAGCTGTATACTTTTGGAATTTAATAAGGAATCAGACCAAACAAGGCCTACATCAGGGATCTATATTGAATATGAAGAGTATCTGTTGTTTGAAACTGGGCAATTGAGTAGTGAAACACACTGTCGTAGAATGTAATGTCAAGGGTTAACGATAGACCAACGTGTACTTATGAATGCGTTTGCTTGTAAATCCCCAAAATGCAATATTTAGATAATCATATACGACCCATAGTTCTTTGACGAAAGCCCTTCCCATGTCCAAAGAGGAGTGTTTTCAGTGCAACAGCCCCACCCTGTAGTTTCTCATTGGCTCCTTCACACTCCCAGCGTCTCTTTTTGTCTAATGAAAAGTACTCTACTGCCTTTACGTCATAGTTTTGCATCGGTGAATCCGATTTCCCTTCCCAAGATAAATCAGCTGTTTTGAGGCCAATCTGATATTTTTATGAGCGCGGTAGGGTAACTTTTTGTTTATTATTATTTGCATTAGGACCCCTACTATACTTGCAACTAAAATCCCACAGCACTAACATAAACGTTAATAATAGATAAATAAACAAAGTACTTAACTTATTGCACACATCAATATAAATAAATGGAGCAAACTAGTATAATTAAAACACTATATTAACACGAAATATACTTTAAACAACACAAATATGTGACGGCAAATCTATTCAAGAAAGTCAAAACAATAAAAGTGTCAGTTCAGAAGACCGTGCGTTTAAAATACAACAGCATAATAATATAACCGGCGTGTCCGCTAAACTAAAAAATATTTCACTCTATGCCGCTCTGAAAGCGAACATTGTGAAAGTAGTAAATACCCCACACGCGAGAGACCTGTTGGATTTACAGGGAAGCGCAAACTGTGGGGGCGAAACACCAGAAACAAGAAAAACCAAACAAACAAAAAGGGTAACACCAGGAACTTCTCTGGAATTTGTCTTTGGGTGTAACTTTTGCTCTCAGACCGGACCGGTAGTTGAGTCTCACATCGGGGCCTCGGGAAACGATGACTGGTGAGGAATGAACACGACTTCTCGCGCGACTAACGTTACCTCTGAAACATAAGCGTATCGGTTGAGCGGCTGCTGGATTAAAAGGAGGAGTTTCGTCTCTATGACCAGGAATAATGGTTGTGGAGTGTATAAAAGTGTCGGAGTTTGAGGGAAGCTAACAGGCTATTCAGCCACACCCTCCCGCCGCTTCCTGATACGCAAGATGTAGCGGGAGACTACAACCGACGCGCGAGAGTCTCAGTAACGAACTAAGTTCGTTATTGTCGAGGAAACTACATTAAAACATTAAGCTGAACGTTAAAACAATGGCAAGCAAAAGCGAAACTATCTGCCACTGGACAACCGCTGCTTTTCTGCTGGAGAGGGCGTATGGACAATAGATATGCATAAGGAACTGTGTTTCCCCACAGAACTTGGATTGTGTACGAAAAAGAAACGGCTGAAAGTCGTTCGGGAATATTTTATGAGTTTTCAAGGTCTCGTGGGATGATGGTGCAGTGGCGCCGCGCCGCGCGTCTCGAGCTTCGGACGCAGGGTCAGCAAGACGGTCAATACATCATCAGCATCATATTGCAGGACGTGTATTTAAATGCATTTAATTTGCATGGCACGAAGAAAACCTGAAATGACAGATTCTGGAAGTCAACCTGCACTTTGCCTTCATCTGGGCATCTTCTCGTTCATGGCACTGCAGTAGCCTTTTAAAAGATTTTTTTGGGGGTTTGTTTGCATTGTTGGAGCAACATTGACAACCTGTGAAACTGATCAGACTGTAGCCTACCTTAACAGAGGTAGTTGTGAATTTTATTATTTCTTTCATTATGCACATCTAAAATCTGATTATTTAAACATTGGGCAATTCAGAGTTTTTCAATTGAAGGGATATTTAACTATAGCTCTCACCAGCCTATTTTGCCTGCATTTTTTATTATAGGAATATTTTTTCAAAAGTACTTCCCTTATTCTCGCAGGTGCATTGAGTGAAGTTTCCTATTATTTTGAGTTATCAAAGTGTCCTGTGTGTTCACAAAAAAGCAGAGTGGACTTTTTCTTCTGAAGGACATTATAGAAGACTCTTTGGCCAGTTTCACTCCCCTTGAGAAGGTGTGGGAATCTTTTATTACTGAAGAAAATGACATAGATCACATGTTTCGCACAAGAGAACGTGTGTTGCGATCTTTATTTTGAACATTAGAGCGACCACACTACTATGGCTAGTAGTGGCTCTGGAAAATCAGATAGTGAGGTTTCTACCAACATCCCTAGTGGCAGCTCGCAACAAAGGAAAAGACTTTTATCCATCTGTGACGCATGCAAGAGCAAAATGCAGCTGGTGGCGGACCTGCTCCTGCTGTCCAGCGAGACCAGGCCGGTGGTGAACTCCGACGGCCTGCCCATAGCAGAGACGTTCGAGAAATGTCGCGACACCTTGATCGCCCGAACTAAGGAGTTGTCTATTATTGTTCATGACATTCAGAGCCAGCTCAACATGGGGAAGTTTGTGGAGGTCGGGGACCGACTGGTGGAGATGGGGGACCTGGTGGTCTCGCTGACAGAGTATTCGGCGCATGCCGCGTACTTGGCGGCCGTGGAGATCCCGGGCTCACAGGCTGCCGTTCCCGGCCTGGTGGACCGCTATAAAGTCACCCGCTGCCGCCACGAAGTGGAGCAGACGTGCAACACTCTACGCCTAACAGCTCTGGCCGACCTGACGCCGCAGCTGCTTCTGGAGGTGTCGCAGAACATCCTGAAGAACCTCACCACGCTCACGGACGCCTCCTCTCTGGCCAGTGATAAATCCAAGGACAAGTTCGCCAAGGAGCAGTTCAAAGCTAGCGTTAAGTGCATGAGCACAAGCGCCACGGCTCTGTTGGCGTGTATGCGCGAGCTCAAGGCCTGCCCCAGCGAGCTGACCCGCAACCGCTGCGTCCTCTTCAGTGGCCCGCTCGTGCAGGCCGTCCACGCCTTGGTGGGTTTCGCCACAGAGCCGCAGTTCCTCGGAAAAGCCGCCGCCATCACCCCCGAGGGCAAGGGGGTGCAGACGGCCGTCCTGGGCGGCGCCATGAGCGTGGTGTCGGCCTGCGTGCTCCTGACCCAGGGCCTCAGGGACATTTCCCAGCATCCCGAGAGCAGCTCCCAGATGCCCGTCTACCGGGAGCGTCTGCGCAACTCTGCATGCGCCGTCTCGGACGGATGCACTCTCCTGTCTCAGGCACTAAGGGAACGATCCTCACCTAGAACTTTACCGCCAGTTAACTCTCATTCTGTGAATTAAAACTCCTCCCCGGCACGTTATTTTTGAAGTACCAAAGAATCTAATCAGGTTTAACCTTTGTATAGTATGAGTTAGGGCTGGGCGATAGTTTGAATATTGGAGAATATAACATCTTTTAATGTTAAAAGTTTGTCTTAGAAAGGCCGTAAGCAGCTGCTTTCAAACACTCCCACGCATTTGTGTGTGAGGGCTCTGTAAACGGCATCAAATGTTTCTATTTGCAACATGTTTAACAGCGTTGAGCATTGTAGCCAATCACAGACATGTCTGTTTAGCTCCGAACACAATGACCAATCACAGGTGCTTAAATTAGTCAGCGGGGAATCCACTCAATACTGCTCAAAAGCGGGAGTTTTCATTCAGCGCGATCACATATTGTGTTCTACATGCTCGAAACCTCTCATTATAACTGTAAACATGATGTAAATAAGAGGTTACATACATATAAATAAGTATAACTAGTGTTGATTTTTGCAGTAAACAATTTGTGACTAAACGTTCTGTCCAGATGTCTTTTTCACGGGGGACAAAAAAAACTTTGTTAAATCGAATATAATGAAAATATCAAGATTTTTTAGCTATATCGCCCAGCCTTAATTTGAGTAAATGTAGTGTTTATCCATCTAAATGAACTTTTCATGGCAGTCGGCTTTACTCAAGGTCACATTTATAGGTTATTTTCTCATACTGGATGTGATTGTGGAAAAAAAAGTAGACAACTTTTACTAAAACTGACAACTTTTCAGCAAATCCTCTTGTCGGTTGAGAATGTGGCCAAAAGCGGTCTTTACAACAGAAGCCTTAAAATAAAACTGAAAGTCTTTACCTCAGTGTTCAGCTGAATGGATGTCATTGAGATCTGTAGAAATCATCAGCATCATATTGTTCGTATTCCATGTGTGAATTTGTAATGAGTTAAAGCTGCTGTGAGTGTGTGCCATAGGTTTTACACTATTTACAAGACTTACAATGATATTTTAATGTGCTGTTTCCCCCCCTTGCCCACCCCCTCATTTTTTATCATGCATGTACTGGAGTATTTATTTCAAGTAATTAAAAATGTTGTTTCTCATAACTATCGTGTGACATCTCAGTCTAAAGATTCAAATACTTGATTATTTTCAATCTATGAAAGAGGCCGAACGTTTTCACCGGATGAACACAATGTGTGCTCTGAGCGATTGAATGTGATTTATCATGAATGACACATCCAAGCACTTTAAGTCATTTTTAGTGAAGCATTTGATTTTGTTCAAATTTCTATACAGGTGGATCGGTGAAGTTAAAGCTAATAATCCTGGTGCCTTGAAGAGCTCCTTTAGGCAAAAGCTACCTTGACTAGTTCCTGATGTGTTCCATTTGTTATCATAGTCCTTGATAAGCCTCCTGCTACCTTCATCTGTGTGTTTGAAGTCTGGAATGTTTATCTCTTCCGCCACACATCTTTATGTGCAGCCGTTTATTCCACACATTTCCTGTACATGGAAAACCCCTGATTAGTCCATTAGTGAAAGACCTACTAACAATTTCCACTTAATTTCTCTTGTGTAAGTTATGGGAAAATCTTGGTGTCTTTTTGGTTTTTAAAGCCTAACTATAAAAAAAACAACGATCTGCGTTACGGTAAATCTCACTAAATCTGTCAATATCCTTGTCATATTATACCCAAAAATCGAAAGAATTTTTTTAATAATGCCTCTACTTGGAGTTAGAATGTTCATCTTCTGTGAATTTTTGCATTATTTTTATGAAAATTACAGTCTTATTTTTATGAAAAAAAATGCACATTTTAACCCAAAATTCTCATTACTGTAATGCGAAACAAAAATTGTATATGATGTAAATAGTAAATCATAAATAATTGTATTACATATAGTATTTATATAGTAAAGGGCTGTCAAATCGATTAATCACACATGTATGCATAAACGTGTGTGTCTTATATATATATATATATATATATATATATAAGACACACACGCACACAGGCTTGACAGCCCTTTACTATATAAATACTATATATGTAATAAAATAATGCGTATATACACACATATAAACAAACTTTTGTTTTAGATGCAATTAATCAATTTGACAGCACTAAGTAAAATATAATTAATATTTCTGAAATAGTAAAACACTCATACAGTCAGTCTTATAATTAACTTTATTCTTAGTGAGATTTAAAGGGAGAAACATTGAATTACAGTAATGAGAATTTGTGCTTGTGTTATTAAAATATCTATGCATTTTATATTAAAAAAAAAATTCTGGGTTGAAATGTGTGTGGGGGGGAACTATTGGTGCACAACAGGAAACCAAATGACCTCTTCTATCAGGAGACACTTCCTTCACAGCACAAAATGTCGGAGAAATAATTTCGACCCAGGTTTCGCCCATTTCCTGCTAAAAGGAGAGAAGTGTAAGCTCTTCCCTGTCCTATTATGCAAGCGTGTGCTGTGAGGGTCTGTCTTCTCCCCCAGTCACCCAGTATCCTGTTTCAGATTCGTTATTATCAGTGTAAACACCTCACCCTCAAAAGCAGGGAGACGTACAGATGATGTGGGAGAAAGGGATGTCAGGAATGTTAACATCTATAATGAAATGTGATTGACATGTTTAAGGGGAAAAGCAGGTTTTTCTCTTAGAAATTGTGCATGTAATAATTCATACACAGTAATGTTTGCCAATGATAAATACACAATGCACTAGAAGATCCAGGCAAAACTCACTGATCACTTAGAAAAGTTATAACACACCAGTTGAGTTGTTTTGGATAGAAGCATCTGCTAAATTAATAGATGTAAAAGTTGGCCTATTATTCATGCCTGGAGCACAAATGGTGTACAATCAGCAGTAAAATAGGTGCAGGGCTTTGTTTAAATTCATTACACAAACTCACACATTTGGCAAGTTTTGATACTGTGGATATGGGTCTAATCTGCCATATCATTTCTGGTGGCATTAACACTTTGTTACTCATTTGAGACCTAATAAGATGCGCGTGGTGAGAGTAGAATGACACTGAGCTCATAATTTATGGAAAAACCTTATCAAATGGCAGACATTGCCGTCTAACTGACTCGGTTATATAGAAGGGCCGTTTGAGGGGAATTTCTAGTCTATACATTTTATTGTGTTGCCCTTTTTTTCTGTCGTGTCCTCAAAATAAAAAGTAGGCATAAACATAAGATGTATGTATTAAAATTGCATATAAAATTCCCATCCATTTTAACAAACAAACTAATAAACGTATTAAAACTAATAAAATGTTATGCATGTTTGTCAGTTGTGCATAAATGAAACGGGTAACAACAAAAGTTAACAAGTTAAAAAATAATGGCATAGTTTAGCATGGCAACTATTTGCATCATATTGAAATCATAAAATCATTTTCAAAATGCATTTTTTTTTTTTTTTTTCAAATCACCATAAATCTGCATTAAAGAAAACTAAATTGATTCGAACACTGATATGGCTAGCAGTGGAATAACAAATATTTATTACTTGAAATGAATGAAATTGAAACAAATTGTATTTATTTATGATAAATATGTATACCGTTTAATTTATGTATGACTGACAAATATCCATAACATTAACTTTATAAGTATGTTTATGTTAAAACTGTGTAATCCAAATAGATGCAATTTAAATACATACATTTAGGCCTAAATATGTGTCTTTTTTACCTTTTGTTTTACTTAAATTAGCATAAATCTGCTAATATATAGAGACTATATAGACTACAAAGTTTAGTAGGTTAGACCACTGAAATAGACAACATACTTGAGAGAAACTCAGTTACCCATTTAGGTTGGTTTAGGTTTAGTGTGTCAAGCAACAGCTGTCGTCTTGGTCAGAAGTGTGACGTCTCTTGGTAACCAAGGCCAAATGTCAGTCTAGTGTGATTCGATACCGATCGTATCATATATCCCTCTGCTCACATAAAAGACACACCCAGGTCATTGTGCTAACGTTTGCGAAAGGCAGATCAAGTTTCATTTTCAGCGTTTTATTGAATCTGCATCAGAGTTGGTAAATATTAAAATGCATAACTGCCTATAGGTTCATAAATCTAAATGTTTAGTAGTGGCTTAGTATAGCAGTTACAGAGAGGTGATATATACTGTACTTCATTTACAATTTTTGGTAAGATAGAACCGATTCATTCAAAAACACTGATTCGTTCTGTAACGAAACAAGCAACTATCTTCATAAATGAGTCATCAAATCAGTCACTAAACTTGAAAATTCAATGAGAAACAGGGTTCACAGAGACGCAGCAACACTAAAATTGTTCTATAAGTTACTATACAAAACGTTTTGTTAATTGAAATGTGTTTTTTAAAGCAATAATGTATTATTTTTATATAACATTTTCCACAAACATGTACCAATATGCATTACATAGTTACAGTCAAACCAAAAATAATTCAGACACCAGGTATAATTTTTTATATATTTTTTACTAGTGGGTGCAGGACACTAGTTCATTTATGTAAGTAAGGATAGCAAAATAAAGTACACTCTCAGAAAAAAAGGTACAATTTTGTACCATAGAAGGTACAAACCCTTGTCACTGGGGCGGTACCTTTTACTGGTACAAAATTGTACCTTAATATAGAGGAACAAATTTGTTCCATTTCAGTTTGTACCTTAAAGGACATAATTTGTACCATGGGCACCCAAAATGTACCTTTTGTTTTTTAAAACTTGTTGGTACAACATTGTACCTTTATCAAAGGTACAAATTTGATCCTTTAAGGTACCACCCCAGTGACAAGCCCCTTTGTACCTTTACTGTGTCAAATTTGTTCCTTCGAGAACTATTAAAGGCTATTTTTTTTATTGAATAACACACACATTCAACAACTGAATCCAAAAGGCATCAATTTAATCAGTTCTGTAAATGCATATCAAATACATATAAACAATTGAATACTTTCCTTCCTACTTACATTAAAGTATTTATTTGTGTAAATACATCAAAGACTTCACAATACAATAAAGACTTCACAAAATTATCACTTATTAAAAATATCACTTCTTTAAAAAGATTTGAAAGAATTAAAAATGCAATTACACTAAAATGTTACAGTACATAAAATATATTTTCTCATATACAACAAACCTAGACTTGTTTTTATTTTTTCACTTTTCACACAATACCTTTGCAATTATTTAGCTTTTTTCTTTTTAAACACCATCCTCCACCCAACTGCTCGGCAATTTCAGATCCCTCCATTTTTACTGCTGAAGATTCTCCTCTCACTGAAGACACGTCCAGTCAAGACGTTCCCAAAATCTGCACAGTGGGTTGTGTGATGTAGCCGGTTCTTCCTGAACAAAATGAAAATCAGTTTTAGAAGAGACAGAAGTAAATTGATTAAATGTATACTCCCAAGGACAAGCTAAAAGCTTAAAGGGATAGTTCACCTAGAACTGAAAATTCTGTCATTTACTCGCCCTCAAGTTATTCCAAACCTGTTTGAGTTTCTTTCTTCACTTAAACACAAAAAAGA